GCCCAATATCTTCTACAAGCCAGTACCTGGTCGCATGACCTGACATGAAGATATTGGCAGGATAACCGGCGATGCATGCCATATCCGTGATGATTAGGTTACGATGGAATGGCGGTACTCCCTCGTCCCTGAAGAAAATAGCTGCAACCTCAAAGTTTGAAGTTTGATTTCGTGCATCCGTTTGTAGGCGGCAGCAAATGAATTGAATTCTCTGATGACTTGCTGCTAAGAAACGGATTTCAATTCATTTGCTGCCGCCTACAAACGGATGCACGAAATCAAACTTCTGAAAGAGTCAAGAGCTCACGAAGGACAACAGGTGCAATCCGTGAAAATAGTCTTTCGTAGGGACGCCCGTAATGAACAACGGTTCCACAATGCCCCCAGTGTTAGCGAGTTCCAGCTATTTTCTTCAGGGACGATGGAGTACCGCCATTCCATCGTGACCTCATCATCACGGAGATTGCATGCATCGTCCGTTCCTCCCAATATCTTCATGTCAAGTCATATGACCGGGTACTGGCTTGTAGAAGATATTGGGCGTGGGCTGGGCCTGGGGAGTGGGAGCTTCGGGAGTGATTTGCGGGTGGTTGTCTCCCGTTGTAGTGTTAGGGATGGCATGGAGAGGTACGACTGGACGACGTGGGCTCGGTGGTGTAGTGGTAGCACCGTAGACCAGCAGTCGTGAGGCCTTGGGTTCGATCCCGGACTGCTCCATCGTGTTCCTTTGGCCTCCCCTGAAATCCATCCCTTCCTAGTATATCCTGGAGGCAGCCTAAAAGTCGAATTTCGCATGGATGCCGACAAGGACGGGACAGCTGCCTGTAAGAAAATTGCCGCATAGGATACAGTTGAGACTGATAATTGCCTGTGTCTGTCTGATATAGTGCCATAGCATAGCGCCATAGTGATGTCACTATGGGACCATTGCGGACATGGCGGGTACTCCCTCGTCCCTGAAGAAAACAGCTGTAACCTCAAAGTTTGAAGTTTGATTTCGTGCATCCGTTTGTAAGCAGCAGCAAATGGACTGACTTCTCTGATTACTTCATTCAATTTTAACATAACGTTTTTTTAACGATTAATTCGCTTTTGGCATCCAAATACTTGCAACGTTGGGGGGTTTCTGGTCGTGCTTGTTTCATTCACCCGTAGGTGGTGTCGTCCTTGTGGACTCGATCCTCTAACCTGTGCTCTCGGTCTTGCTTTGTCTCGGTCTTTCTGCATAACCTTTTCCTTCCCCGATAGTTGTTAGAACTTGTTCTTTTTCGTTTAGGCATTTGGCAAATGTAAATGCTCTGCGAGGGTCTTCATTTAATGGTGTCTTAATTAACCCGCAAATTCATTTATTTTTCGATAAAACGTGAATTTAGAGATTTCCTGAACTACAAGGAAATCGAGACCTATATCGCTCGAAAGCGAGAGGCACGTGCACTTTCATGTATGAACTTGCCTACAAATGACTTCTTCCTGGTGGTCTTAACGCAATAGCACCAAACTTGAAATTTGCTTCTGATTTAAGTTGAGAGATAGAGAGTGATAGAGAGTAAGGTCTTTCTTTTCGTCTGGGGTAAGAACCCTGAATGTCTATTTCTCAGGAGCTAATAAACATTAATTTATGTGCAAAATATATATACTGTATATTTAAAAAAAAAAACAGACTGCGAACTTGGTCAGAGGAGGGGCATTCCCCCCCCCCCCCTTCCTCTCCTGGATCCGCCACCAGTGAAAGGGTGAATGCAGGGCCGGATCAAGAAGTCCCCCCCCCCCCCCCCCCCCCACCCTTCTCCTGCTACTTTGCGCAAATACTTAACTTGTTTAATTTCCTTCGAGGGCCCCCTGGCCCTGGGTAACACCCCCCTTTGCCTCTCCCCCCCCCCGTAATCCGGCCCTGGGTGAATGGTATTCGAAGTGACCATCACTTCATTTAACCACACGAAGCGGCGTCCCAGTTGCGAAATTTCTCTTTGCAGTGTCGCGTTGAATTCCTTTGATTCCTTTGGATCTTCCTTTTTGGCTGCTGGATCTCGCCTCGTCCCGATGCCAAGGGGCTCCCAACTAACGCTCCCCTAAAGAGGGGGGTCTCTTCGTAGCTCGACGTCTGGTCCCCTTTGACCCGTGGGCCATGGGTGCTGTCTCACCGCCTGCACATTCGATAGCTACGCCATTGTTTCATAGTAATCTCTCCATTCTTTTCTCTATCTCATCGCGGCGTTGCTGCAGTGGCAGCAGGATTAGAGGTGCCATCGGGGCTGTCCCCTCTATCCCGCGGAGATGTATGGTCGATAGGGAAACGCTGAGACCAACGACCTGCAGTCCAAATGGAAGGTCTCGCGGGCCCCTCCTATCCCCCGCGCGGAGGGCAGACGCGTCAGTCGGTGAGGCGATCGCACAGGGTAAGGAACGATGCGTGTGACGAGTTTTCTCTTGTGTCTCGTCGGTTCTCTGGCGTGTTCCGGTGATAGTGATGAAGAGTTCGCGAATCCGAATGCCTTGAACGAGGCTGCGGCTTGGTCTTACATAAAAGACTATAACGTGGAAGCGTCAGAAGTATGCAATCGAAACGTTCTAGTCAATTGGGCCTACGCCACAGATCTCACCGAAGCGAATCGTCAGGCTGTGGTGAGTGATGATTGCGATAAAGAAAACTTGCTTGCGCTCAGATTCCGTAAAATTATGACGTATAGCTATGTTTAAGACTTGCTTTCTTATTATTGTCGTCGTGAAATACTGTAGATTTGAAAAAATATTATTTCATTCCCATTCATACCGTTCCCTTTTCGGACGTTCCTGGAAGACAGAAACGTCCTGATAACTGATAAGATGAGCCAAGAACAATATGGCGAGTGCAACCTCGTGGATTTATTGATGCTTTTACATAAGCATGAGATAATTTAAAAAATGAAGAGCAGAATTCACTCTCGCCTTCCCCATGGTGGACCGAGAGTCAGTAATCCATTTTTCGCCCACGATAATTCATGTACGAGGGCAATTGCGAACATCTGATCTAATTATCAGGATGATAATCCAGGCGCTGATTTGGAATCGAGAAATTCCTTTATAGTATTTGCAACTTTCGAATATACACCCCCTGATTCAAATATAACAAAGAACATAATGCTAGTTTTGAATACATTTTCTTTTTTTTTTGTTAGTAAGTCCCTTCAAAATCTGAATGAGTGCTTTTTTGTCAATATCATGTGAATTTTTTTCCCTTCTCCAGTTGGCGGAGAGCCTGGTATCTGCGCGCTATGCGAAAGAAGCATGGAAGAACGTGACCTCGTTCCAATGGAAAAAATTTCGCGACCCGGAGTTGAAGCGGCTCTTCAAATCTCTCTCCATCCTCGGAACGGCTGCTCTCCCGGATGACAAATTCACACGGGTGAATCTTTCCTCCGTTTTAGTCCTGAATGCGGAACCACCAGCGTGCGTCCACTTGACCCCCCAGACAAAGAGGCGCACGTGACCCGCATAGACGGATTCTCATTACAGTGGGATTCTTTCCAGTTTAGACGGACTGACCCTTGCTTTTTTTTAAATTCCGCTATTTAGGTTCGGTTTCGAAACGGGCAGACGTCCTCGCGTCTATTGTTTTTCCAGCTCGCTGTTCCACACGAAGCAATTCCGTTATTCCGATGGAGGAAAGAATGAAATGCCTGGAGCGATGGAACCGGCAGGCATGAGAGCCGGGATTGCATTCTGTAGTGCGATGAAGCCCCCACGCATGTGGAGCTTGAGGGCAGGAGTGTCTGGCCATTTTGCGTCTGACTTTAGCAAGCGATCTCGCATTCTCTCTCGGAATCAAAATTGGTCCAGTCGTAACTACGTGCTTGCTTGCTTTCTCTCTTTCCCATCCTCGTTTCATATGCTTCTGTTTTTTAAAAGGACGATATTCCACTAGATACTGGTGTCTGAATTTTACAGAAAATGTTGGGTAAAATTTAAAGATGTAACTCTTTCTCGATTAAACATCCCGTGTATAAAAAATATCTACGTATTAAATAATATTTAGATTACTGTAATTGTTCGTGTTGTAGCCCTGAATGCTCTGAAGTGGGCACTCATCATATGAGAAATTCTCGATCTGAGAGCAGTGGTACGTCAAAATTTATTCTCCATAAAAGCTGCTCCATATCAAAACGGAAAGAGGACTTCATGTTTGCAAGTTGATGGCAGTACTGAAGAGCACGGAAAATACACATTTTTCCATTTCGCTTCATCATAGCCTAACTGCTGCCTTGTCACTCCACCCCCTTCGACGGGAAAAATTTTATCAAGGAGGGCCCTGGGTCCTGGAATCTCCGATGACCGGGACTAATCCCGTTCCTGCCTTAAAACGCCTCCAGAATCGACTGCGGTAGCAGGCCGCTGTCTACAGACCATGGATATCAACTCCGTCGCCATGGTGCGAGGGCTGTGCAATAGTAATGCTGATATATCGTGGAGTATTTGAGTTTTAGTCCTGGAACCGAAACGTAGTTGTCGCATGGCATAGCACTGGAGGTATCGAAGAAGCCGAAGTTGTCGGAAGATATTGTATCGATGTTCTGAAATTATTCCAGAGGCATCAATGGCATGCCAGTGTCGGTTCGTTAGCTGCTTGATTCTCGAGCTCGGATATGTCATTGCCGCTAACGCTCACGTGAGACCACTTTACCATGTCCACCTGTACCACTTTTTTTATTTTTTTCAAGCAACACCTAAATCTAGTGAAAACTGAATGGGCAGAACTCCCAGGACCAGAGTGATCATAAACACTTACTCTGCAAAAGCAAGTAGCAAGCTATCAGAGTGATCATAAAGGAGTTCTTGCTTTTATTGTGTTTATGTAATGCCTCGAAACTCCAATCGGACGTTTTTCAGAGCTCAAGTAGCATTGGATTATTCTCCACCGATCCCTTTCATCTTCGTCAGCAATCTCAGAAGATACAACTTGCTTTAACAGAAGTGCCAGAGGTGTGCCATGATCCTTTTTTATATGGAAAATAGACAATCAAACGATGGGTCTTTCCTTCCTTCGTATTTTGCAGGAGCTTAGCAACATTCCCCTTTCTCCCATCCTATTCTTTTCCTCTCTAAGCAAGGCAAATTTCCATTTTCTGTTGCAGGATGCAGGCCTTTCACAGTGACCTAGCGAGAGTCGCGCATCCCAGAAAAAGGCTTTTATTTAAAAATTGTAATATATCTATTTTTAATTTGAAACTTATTCAACTCTTAAGACTGATAACACTGCCTTATTAAAGCGTAAAATAAACGAGGCCTTTTTTGCAGCTTCAAAGCAGATAATTTGATTGCGAAGGTTCCTCAAATTGTCATGCTCACATGGTGTTCTCATCAAATTTCAAGGTGTAACCTTGCTGAAAAGCAATAGAAATTAATGAATTCACTTGTCCTAAAAGCAGTTACAAGAATCGACCCTCTCGACGTCTGACTCTACCTCCTTTAAATATCGTTTCGTTGCTAGACACTAATGTTCCTGTTCAGAGCGACGCTGGAGTGGAACCTTGGTCCAGTGTCTAAATTTTTAGTGTGCCATTAGAAATATGGAGATGCTGGTCGAAGAGATAAGTCTGTTTACAGATCTAAAGCGGAAGATGAAAAATGTTCGCGATGCCGATGAGTTGCAATGGATCTGGGATGTTACCTCTCTTCGGTGCCCCTTTTTCTACTCTCCCTTTATGTCGCTGAAGTAGCTGGAGTCGTTACTTCGACGGTTTCGGTTGTCATTCGGGACGAGAAATTAAACAAGTTAGATAAGGCTAAGCCTGTGGCAATCAAAGCTACCTGGGGGGGATTCTTTGATGAGGGACCACCTGTCCTCTGCCCGTATGATGAAGAGCTACTTGTCCCCCTACCACATATCAGACCCTCTTCCTAGGTTGCTTCTATTAATATTTATTATTAATTTGAACAGTACATCCAGGATCGCTGTACTTTTAGTAATTGAGCTACGCAACGGTTTAGTTGTATTCCAATTCTGTTGTTAATGCAGGTGAAAATGGGTACTGGGTCTGCATGTACCCTTGATTCCGGGATGAATAAAACTCCCAAGTAGGTGGGAGTGAAGATCTTATTCTATTTCTCCTGATTTCAGGCATTTCAGGTCAGTTTTTAAGGTTCCATGAGGACCTGTCCTCTCAGACCCGACTGACCTTGTCTCGCTCCTCTCCACAATATGGTATAGATTGTCTTAAAGAGGCTGGAGGAAAAGCTAGCAAATGTTGTAAAGCAGAGAGGGCATCTTCCACAACCATAAACTTTTTTCACCTAGACAGTACGAGGTATTTCGATATGGTTCAATGAAAAAAAAACCTTATCTATATCCAAACCCAAGCGTTGGTGTGGGGATGGTCGATAGGCAATGTACTCTTTCAATCCTTGCGCCATTAGACTCAAGGAAGGATGGATTGTCTGATGTAATACTTGATTGATAGATTTCTCGGACATGGGTGCTATGTGGCGTTATGTTTACGAGACGGATACGTTCGAAGAGGAAGTGGCGGAACTGTGGGAGACTGTCCGACCGTTGTACGAACAGCTTCACGCCTACGTCCGACGAAAACTTCGTGAAAAGTACGGAGTGGACAAGGTCTCGGCCGATGGACCCATCCCTGCTCATCTGCTCGGTAAGAGGCTGAATTTCCGATTTAAAACCTA